TCATTGATATCAGGTGTGTGTCTACAGGGGATCGAACGTCGGACCATGTGCATGGTCGGCGAGAGTCCTAACCACTGTGCCACCGACACACAGTGACTCAACTTCATCAACTTTGTAAAGGTCTTGAACAGCGTTGAAGGCGTAGTAATTTGGACACTACTATCAGGTGCGGTGTCTAAAATCCTGATCAGTCTGACTTGACAGCCTATTATTACAGACGATATTCCTAATTGTGATGGACTGGATTGTGTGAAAGATTTCGGGGAGCAACAAGACTCGATGAGACCTGATTTCCGCGGACGATTTATGCCTGATGCCATATATATTCGAACACTGACAAACAGGAACCATGAAGCTTGAAAAAGAAGCAGACAACAATGGCAGGACTTCAAAGGAACATACACAAGTCGGCGGGGATGAAAATAACCAACAATAACAAGCACTAATCACTATCAGCGGGATAAATTTTAAAGAGGTTACTTCCTTCAATTATCCGAAAAATTGTCCCAACTACAAGCAGAACTGATGAGGAGACCGAAACCAGATTCAGAATGGCAAGGCATACCTTCATTATACTAAAATCATTTTGGAAATCGACATAAGGAAAAAATTTAGACTTTCAACGCCAATGCTAATCACTTCTTCGGTATGTATCAGGGAATTGATGCATTTTTTTTATTATCAGTTGCCCTCTTCACTACACACTGGATATCGGATGGTCAGCTAGAAGGAATTCGCGACATGAGCGTACGAGGATGAAATGCATGAGACTATATGTCCAGGTGACATACTTTGATTACAACCAGTGTACCGTATTTGTTGATTTATTTCTCTCCAGAATTCATAGTGGCCCTCATAACACAGAACAAACATATATCACTGAAATATTTTATTTTATCTTTACTGGCACTATTGTATGAATCAATTAATGAATTTATAATTGTACAGCCTGAATAAGAACAAATGCTCGCTCTAATTATTCGTTTTCTGAATATTTTCATTTACCAAATTGAACAACGAAAGAATAAACTCTGTACTACTTGTATATAGAATGGACAGGAATGATGATTTCTTATACGCTTGTTGATCAAGGGTATTAACTGAAAAGACTCACAAATAGCTTTAGTCATCTTAGTGACGCTGGCCTTCATAAACAGAGATTATTGTTATAATGATTACTATTATGGTGCATGTTATTCCATCTCGAGTGATCTCAGTAATATCGTTGGTTTTAATCTAGTCAGACGGAACCGCGTGATTCCACACGGTTTTCATTCACAACAGATGTACAATCTCGAGCGATGTAAAATGATGGTTTAATTAGAGTGATATTACGTCATTTTGATTAAACAGCCTCTCATCATTAACGCACAGAGAAGTTTTTGACTCATTTTCTAAGCTAACGTGATATTAGTTGACTGGAGACTCGGAAATCAATGAGAAATACTCACAAATTTTACAGAGTTAAAAGAATAACTATAATGAAGAAATCAGGAGAGGCATGATTATGTTTTATCAACAAAAATAAGTGACGAATAATGGTTACCCTAAGAAGTTCACTAACAATTAAGAAATAAATAAAGTCTTCAGGGGAAAACAAATCATACTGAGCAACAAAGCTTTCTTTGTACGATTTGATTTTAGGTGCGATAGTACTTTAGGAATAGTCATCTGAAGATTGAAAAGCTAGAACAAACTCTGTATCTGTGTTGATTCTCACCTGTCGAACAACCTGTCATTTAGTGCGAGCAAAGGTTCAGTGTTATTTTATCCATGAGAAATCTGATTGCATACGTAGGCTTACATGTAGTCATGGTCACATTGACTTTAGGGAGAACAGGAAGATGAGTAAATGTCAGATCCTTTCAACAAATATCAAAATGTTTTACTTTTAAGGCGAGGACTGATATCAGCTGTGTCAAAGCCAGGCTTCTTTTTGTTCTTATTGTTTTCTCTTTTTTAGGTTTCGAGTTGAACATACGGTTGCAGAAGTAAATCTCCATTTCATTCCGTTCGTTACAGTCGTCTTTAACTGCCGAAAGGCTCTCATCTCCTGTCCATAACATATGCTCCAGTTCATTCTCGGACGCTAGACACACAAATTCTCATTCTGGTTCTACCGGTTGTTCTGGCGCGCCAAGTAACTCAATGGTCTTCTCTCCATGTCACAGAAACATACCCCTTTCATTCTGCATATTTGTTCGCGAAACATACCACGTCGTACAGCCAAGAAAGTTCTTTTTCTCAGCGTTTCTTTCCTACCATCTGATGTTTAGTAGAAACCAAAGTAGATAGTCGTTAATGAAAGTCTACAGTGGCCAGTTGGAAATCCTTCTGGTGACACACAAATACCCTAAACCATATGGAAGTAGTGATTCGAAATTAGTGGAGAAAATCTCTGATCTTGTACATTTTGTTAACTTCAACGGACTAATGAATTGATTTCAGAGTAATAAGTGACTGTCTTAATTTTCTGATGTTGTCTTTGATACCCTGTCTTCCGCTGCGTGTATTTGTGATGAGGCTGCCTAAAAACGTGAAATAATTGACCTCGTTCAAATTTATTTCGTTGATGGTTACTGGTGCTTGCTGTTGTTGGTGGTGGTGATTAATTAACTGCATCACCTCTGTCTTTTCTACATTCACGTAATCTTGTCGATACTGATTACTTTTGTTCTTTCATCAATTTCCTAGAGGAACATAGGGCTTCAGCTCCACGTCTTCATTGCGGTCGCTTCTCCACCAACGTTTTCACCTGGCTCTACGTCTGTCCATATTCTTTCATCTCCTCGTCTCTGCATGACTTCCTCCGTGTCACCCTCACATAAACGCTCAACTCATTAGTTACCATTCTATTGGGTTCCACACAAGCAATGGCCTGGCCTATGATATCACTCACTTGATGGTTTGTTTTCTCAGAGTATGTCCAATCCACCTACATTTCATCCTGCATGTTTGTTGCACAGTCGGTTCGTGGTTGGTTCGCCCCCAGAAATCCCGGTTGATGAAGGTTATCTGATCTTGAGTACTAAGCGAAGACAGCTGTTGATGAAGTTCTGTAGTATGTTTGAGGTGCTCTTCATGACGCCACAATTTCTGATCCGTATAGTAGCACTGACTTCACATTGGAGTTGAAAATCCGGGTCTTATTTTCCATGCTGAAGGCTGAGTGTCGATTTCCACACAGACTTGAGAGTCATGAAAACTTTCCTTGCTCTCTCAATACTCGCTTTGACATGCTCATCAGTTCCGTCCGCCTGTAGTTAAAACGATGCTTCCCAGGTAGATGAGTAGGTAAAGGGGGTTGCATTTTCCGATTCCTTCCAGTTATGCTGGCTGATTGTTGTCTGTTGTTGCTGTTGGCCAGGAATTTTCACGTTAGCAAGTGGTTATTATCGAACGTTTCAAATATAATTTCGTGCTGAAAAAAGTGGCTTTCAGACTTTTGTTAAGATAGATAATCCGGCTTCATAACGACTCCTGTTTTTGAACACAAAACTTTTTCATTTAACTTCTTCCTTCTAAGTATATTATAACTTTGACGTTCATTTCTATTTCTGTCGTTTTATTAGCTACTAATCACAAGGTCAACCATCTCTTGTGTTTATTAACTGAATCACTTTTCTAAGTATTCATAACCTGTTTTGAATTACCCTTAATCATCGTTTACTTGCCGGTTCTCCACCTAAAAAAAGAGAGGAGATTGAACTTGATTCTGGCGACTCCATCTCCGAAAATCAATCACTTAAAAGCACTGAAGAAACGTATACAAAATAAAGACCTATTCTTCTCTGGAATCGGAGAGATAGAATGAAGTGAGCTGGTGAAAGCCTTCTAGAAGGCAGCCAGTCTATGTGTCTTCTTTGAATGTAAGTGAAAATAAGTATGGAGGACTTGGAATGCTCACATCATATTTGAAGTTGGCGATGCTGCTGAGATTTCTGACGAAATGAGAAGCTATGAGCTCCAAGAATCTTTAAGAAACGGTGAAATGGATGTGTAATGTCTATAAACGGTTCGCTTAAGTTTGAGTATTCTATTCCACTTACGAGCGTCTAAAGCCCTCATCTTCTGGGAACCGAGATTCATTCAAAAAGGAAGGAAAGTTAGAAGTAGTCTGTGCTGAGTCCCTCACCCTAACACAGATGAAAACAGGAAAGAAGAATTTTTAAGACAACTGCAAAGAGAAAAAGGTAACATGCCGAAGAGAAACATCAAAATACCAGTGGGTGATATGAATGCTAAACTAGGAGCAGACAAACCTCGAGGAGAACACATAATGGGTCAGGAAACTCCTGACAAAACGAATGAGAATGGACAACTTTACTCAGATATCTGTGTCAGATAGAGAGGACTATACGGCAAAGGACAGAATGGAAGTCTACTTCAGAAACCCAATATTACATTGAACAATCAAGGAGATAAAATAACTATTGTAAGATTTGCCTAAACTAACACATTTGATGTTTACTTTCTTTCAACGAGAGATGAATTTACTCACTCACTTGTTGTTGTCTAGTTTGACAATTCAAATTGTAAGATTTAAATAAAGTTTATATTGAGACAATGAATACGTGATGTTGACGCTTTCATTCTGAGTTGACACGTGATGACTTATGAGTTAAAGTAAACAATATACCAACTCTAGTAACTTCAATAGACTTCTAACCATGTTGATATTTATGATGGAAAGTGATACATCTCTTGAAGCTTTTATCATCGAATGTTTTTCTTAACGAATATACATAACAATATGGCCAAGAAGTATATTTTAATTGTCGTGATTTAACTGATGTAAACAGACTTTACAAGGCCTGTGTTTTCGCATTATTTTTAAGCTGTCGATTTTAAGATTACCTTTGGAGATGTTTATCTCTGCTGAATGTTTGAAGAGGCGAGAAATAAACTACGTACCATCTGCTGTGCATATATATATATATATATATATATAGCTCACGAGAAAGAGATATTGAAATATTCCGGCTAATTCGAGATTTGTGATGAATCATTTCACTCTGACGTTCTGTGCTCTTATTTTCTGTAAGTTTTATTTTGTAATGTATCTGACTATGTGCAACATACCTGATTTATTTGATTGGACACTAGTCAGGAACTAGTGTAATGTGTGTGTATGTGTGTCTAGTTCTATGATTAATGCAGACTGAATGCTGTCAGTCAAGTTTGCAATGTGGCCACTTTGTGACTACGTGGCTTACCATTAAGGTGCACTGTGAATCGTTGGTATTAGATTGTTGAAGGCAATCAGCCAGATGATGCTTTTCCTGACCTAGGTTTCGTGCTACGTGGCAACAAAGATAGGACTAGACACATTACAATAGTGACAGACTAGCGTGAAATCAAAAATATTCAATACAGTCTTACAGGTGGTCAATCGGCAGTCTGAATAGTTTAGTAACAATGTCTGTGACTGGAGCACTGGGTGACGCGTGTGCCTATCTTAGAAGGAACATGAGTTCCTTCGAGGTTTTAGATAACCCTAGCTGACCGATAAGTGGTCACTAGCGCGAAACCAAAGTCTGAGGCTTCCGTTAGACGATTGTCGCCAAACACCTAATGCCAACAGCATAAGTGATTATTTGCAAGATATGTGTTGAATGAGAATAACGAATCAATTTTCACCGGTATTATACAACTTTGTAAATGAGTTTTAAAAAGTTGACATCATAAAGCTTTACCTTCAATGATCAGAAAACTCTTTGTATGATTCAACATATTCCGAAACCTGAGAGATATTTTGACGACAAATATACATTTTCCAATGTATGTGCTCATCTTAGAAAAATCAGCATACTAGGATAACTTTGAAATAAAATACCCAAGTAAGAGGATTTATTGATCCTAATCAACCAATCAGATAAGCCAGTCGCAAAAACAATGAAATACAGATGCAGTACACGAATTACGTTGCTGATTACATCAAGACGTGATACTTGATTACTGTCGGGATATTAGGCTTATAGGAATGTCTCCGCAAACGTATGCAGGCGTTGTTGATGGATAGGTGCAAAGAAATTCAGATCATCTTTACAGAAAATCTATGGGAGAAGATCCGTCGTTCAGGATCACAGGTGCAGTAGGACAGTGAACAGGTGACGAAACAGCATGACATACAGTTATCTTGATGCATTTATGTGCAAAAGTAGGTTCGAAATATCCATGAAGATTCTGATAAGGAATTAGAAAGTTTTCTTGTGATACAGAAGAGAAGCTTAAGCTATGTGCCTACTTTTTAACACTAGTTTTGATGTCTGCAAAAGAATTTTTGAAATTCCCCTCATTCACCGCGTTTTCACATAACTGATTGACCATGGTTATTAAGTTCGCTTACTTGGGTCTTTTGTTTGAGTCACTGTAGTTCAAAGTTACCGATATTCTAGAGTCAAACTGAAGTGTTGTTGCTTTTTTCAAACACTGGAACATTCATTCGCTCAGCTAAATGAACAGAATTCATCATTCTTTTTGGCCTAGGTTTTCTACTGATGTGTATACAGACGACTGAGGCTGGTTTTATTCTCGAATGGCTTTGTGAGTTTCTGAAAATTTGCTATTCCATCAAAAATTTAATATTTACGGAAACCTTTATAAAGTTTTACAAGTCGGGCTTGAAGGCATCACCATTTTTGTGTCATAGATTTTTCATAATATTTTGAGAAATAAACCAATTGTTGAATATTTTATGGCAAAATTTTCTGGTTAGTGGTTTGCAGTGGGATCTAGGATAAGCGTTTCATTCTATTAGGTACTGACTAGTACTGACATGTATTTGCATTCCCCAGTGAGTAATGGTGTTCACTTTAGGCCGGGAACCCAGTGCTCATCGTTTCAATCGATAAAGCAGTATCTACCAGACTACTTGCGCCACGACAACAGCCACTTGTGCAAAGACTGTAGGTTAACATTTCTTAAAATTTCATTTTGATTAATCAATGTGGAGATCACAATTGAAATAAAATTATTCTACGGGGTAATTTGAAAACTTCAAAATATTCAGCTTAAAACTATGAGGTGCATTCTCCATATTCAGCGATGATATAGCATACCGTATCCACGACGCTATTTGTAGATACATTGTCCGTTGCTATGTTAGAGTAATGACACAAGTAAAAGATATTTTCAGGTCTCTGACACCGAATTATGAATTTGAAAAATTCGTATGAGATGTGTGTTTCGATAGCTTCGGAGGTCTGATCAGTCTGTGACAGTAAATGCTTCTTCGTGGTCACATCTAGACAGCAATCTTCAAAGTTAAACAATATACAATTGGATTTTCATGAATTGAACACTAAGTATATTTGGCCTATTTCACCAGAAATACTTCGATTCTACTCATGTCATAGTGGTGTTTATTCGAGCTGGTCTATTTTGGGGGTGTGCTATATCATTGCTTCTACCATTTATTCATAATTCAGCTCAAATTTAAAGATAATCAACATTGAGCTTGAGTTACGAGATACGAAATATATGTACACATTAGAACACACATAAAATTAAAGATAATGTGTTAACTACCACGCTTGAAACCAGATTTATGTGTTCAGAAAGAATCAGTTATTTGTCTTTCCTTGCCTTGGTAACTGGATGTCTTTTTTCTCTTATCCGACTACGTAATCTTTGTCTTTAACCTCACCCTCCTTTTATAATCTGTAATTTTATTTGTCTTTTGTTTCTATGACTTGAGTTCAACTCAGTACATTGTTACCTAACTTATTAGTCACTATGCATCTAACGCACATCTCATCTTTATTATGTAACCCCTTACCATTATATGCATACATTTATTTTGTTTTAACTTGAACTGCCTATGTAATAAAACTATATAAGCGCAGTTTTCTGAACACTGTTTACCAATTGTGGAACTTTCTGTCAACTGACAACATGTAAAATTTGCAAGTATGTTAAAACGTTTCTGTGCTTCATCCTCAAAATTTATTTAGGCTGTAAGCAGCTGAAGAGAAGCCAACGAAATGAATGATGGTACCACGTTATTCTGCACAAACCACTGTTGTTCTCGCTTTCATCAAATACCACGTAGTAATCTTAGACCTTAGTCCTACTTTAGACGTTTTTTCAGCAAAGCCAGCTGGCATCAGGTGGCTAATAACTAAGAATCCAATATTGGTTAATATGTTAACGACAACGACATTAATGTTTGTGACTTTCATTGGAAACTTCCTTGTACTTTTTGTCACAGAAGCATATTTCACGTCAATGAGAGACTCTGACCACATTTTACATACGTCTGCTTTTCGACTGCATACAGGCGACTTTGGTCTTACAATATTTTGCGATAGTAAGTTGGAACACTAGTAAAAGAAAATATAAATTATGGTAGATTAGCGTATCAGGTTTATAGATGAATGTTATGTAAACTAATCCTTTGAAATGAAGAAGAAAGTTCGACATGCTTTCACTGTTTTCCTTGATCTCAGAATATCACTTGTTCACAACAGAGTTTATTGGAAATGTAAACATTCTACAATGAGCGACTATTTTCTCCCCATTGTTTTCTAGGTATCCATAACTCTCCTTTATACATTGGTTGTAAACTTGAAGGTTTAATATTGTGAAGGCTTACAAAATGTCAAATACTCAGGAGTTTCTACAAAGGGAAGCAGCTGAGAATTCCATTGAATGTTATTTTGTGTATATTTTGTACGAATGAGTAATATTTTGACTTCCAGAGAGGAAAAATCGGGAAAGTATTGAGTAAGTCCATATTCGTTCACTTCTTTTAAAATGAAACATATTTTCGGTATATAATAGCAGCATATCCATGAACCTAGGATAATCCATCTAGCTCCTAACCCTAACGCTATATATAATCCTTACTCCCATCCAATTCTTAAGCCTTAACTTAGCCTTATCCCTAATTCTTAACCCTTATCTAAATCCTGTCTGAATAGCATGATTAGCTTACCATTCACTATAAGTCGACTGACTTCCATTTCGTTAGTGACCACTCGTATCACTGTTTTCATCGTAGGGTCTTATCTTCGACTCCGGGCTAGACTTCATGGATTTTCTCCCAATTCATGTATTGCATGTGCAGTTTCTAGTAACTCAGCTTCATCTTTTGGTCTAGATGAAGAAATCTACGAGCAAATTTTCTTTCCCTGGAACGTGAGAGATCATACTGTCCTACTCGAGCGGGCACGAAATCTACCACAAAATGTCCTGCATTGGTCTTTCGCTGTCTTCAACTTCTGTAGCGACTTACGGCCAATTCACATATCAAACCGTTGATCATGTAGACAAGGTCTCCATTTTTCGCTATTGCCAAACATTTTTTCCCACCTGTTGAATACTTCTGCCTCGTATGTTAGAACACGATTGGCATACTTCACAACTCATTCACTGTATCTTAGTACTACACCTATTCTGTATTCGCTTCCAGCTATGGTTGCCATAAGCTGTTCCCCGGGTACAAGTAGTTTTAATGGCATTTTCTGGCGGCCTGAAAGCTATTTAATGAGGTCAAATACCTTTTTCCGGGCCCTACCACCAAATAAACCCTGACTCACAACAAAGCTGATATCTCGTTGAAGTTTTTCACAAACCAACTATACAACTCTGCTCTTCCCAAGTATTTTTGTTGTTTCCTATGCGAATTCGGAGGCCTTTATCGTTTGACCTTTATCGTCAAGATTTTCTCAGACAGAGGCTCCATCTAACCGTCCCAAGATAGTAACATTCCTTTTTGCCATCTGAGATCTTGTTGATGCATTGTAGAAACTCTCCAATGAATTTTAACACGGTATTGACATGTTTGACCTCGCCATTTTTACTTCTGCGGCTCTGTCACAGGTACACTGTACTCATTATCCGTCTTTTTACCTTCACGATATCACCGATGTCCATGTCTCGTGCGGCGTTGACCAGTTGTTATTGGTGAAATGTGTGTTCCAGGAAACTTTCGATAATTTGGGAAATCAATAACTGTGTCAATGACTTTTCATCAAGTACGGGAAGTGTCAGATGAAGCAGACTTTTCAGCCTCATCGCTAATACAGACTGGTTTTCATCAGGTCCTAACTTCGTGACACAGAGCTGACGCATCGTCTGCTGTCTGTCCGTCGTACTGTCGAACTTCGCCACTAAACTTCCCACTAATAACTTCTGAGTTCTGCTATCCTCCTATCCGCTCCACAATGATATATGCAGCATTTTCCCACCTCTCAGCAGTATAACTGTTTTTCCAACACCAAATGTAATGGCAGGTGATAACAGTATCTGAAACATCTATTCAGCAAGTGCAAACAATATGGTGAGATTTATTAAAATATTGCCGATAATGACAGGGAGATTTGGTTCACTAGCTCACTTTGTAACCAGAAAGTCCTCGGTTCGAACCTATGTGGTGGAGGTGTACCATTGAGGAATCGAAAACCAGAATGGAACAGATATCCAGTACACCCAACTGGTTTTTCAATGGCTCTCTAATTGATGTCAGCTCATGATGAAATCCTCCAACCAATCAAACAAACAAAATCTCTACAAAACCAATACTTGAAAATATCAAATGTACTTTACAATCATTATAATTACATAGATATGATATTAAAGGATGTAAATAAATAATCTTTTTTCTCAGGAGAATACTACAGCTGTCAAAGGAAATTAAACGTAAGTCTGTAATGTAATGGTTTCCTTTCAGAAAAATACTGGCCAGTGTTGTATTTTGACCACATGCTTTAATCTATCATTCTAAATCAGCTTATCACATGGGAATATAAAAATATTATTCTGCAATCGGTTTGGTCATTTTTATGTAGTCAAATTTATAAGACACTGTTATTATCACTATTTATGGGTAGAAACTAGGCACTAAAGTAAAATGTGACCTTATAATAGACGAGTTTATTTGGTTTAAGTGAATGTTGTTCAAATGCAGAAATTTCATATCATTTTGATTAAACTAGTCGATATCGAAAGTTGGGACTGTGAGTGAATAGACGGAGTTTTATTTCTGCTTTGTTTCAATTTCTTAGTATAATACTGAAGTAAGTACCTTGGAGTTCATTTTAATCGTTCAGATTTGGCTTTTACATATGTATACAGCAAGATAACGAATGTGATTTTTTCAATTATTACCATACTTTCAGGCAATGCATTCTGGAATCCAATTAGCCAAGTCAGTCGGAAATATTTGTTTAACTAAATTTTCTTTTCTGTATCAAAGAATGTTTGACACAAACAGAAGTTACCTGTCCATAATTCACATACCTCTTCGATTGTACCCTTATGACATGTAATTGTTTAAATAAATCTGCGTTATTTTGTCTTTTCTATGTAATTTCACCTAATTTCAGTATGAAACAGATTGAGTACTTGTTTATTGATAACTTAAGGAAAAGAACGCGTAATTAACATTCAGGAAAGAAAAGCGATTTCACTTATAAGTGACTGTTTTCTAGGGAAATGCTTTTCATTCTGGGTTATTTAGTTCGCGAAGACTAGCAGTGTAATCCTGCATGCAAGTGTTTTTGCGTCTTAATCAGGACTTATCAAGTGAGCACACAATGTCACAACTATTCCTACCGGTTAGAAACATTTTTTTGTATTTTTACAAATAGGAGTGGATAGATTGGAGTTAGGGGTAGTAGAAGTACTTAAAATGTATGACATTTAATTACATTAGTGTCCCGTAACCGAGGCGACGAAATTATCTTTTACACTTATCACTAGTTATTGCGGTATAATGCAACCAATATTGGTGTTCTCACCATCCTTGAAAAATATGTAATACACTGAGAATGATACCTACGTTTTTGGCCTCTTACTAGGAATTGGTAACGTGTCATCGTTGCTGCCTAAATTCTTATTCTTCTGACAAACGTTTTTGAAAGATTAACGGACTATTTGCCTTTTTAATACGTGTCTAGAAATGAAACAATAGAAGTTTTCCAACTCACGATGCCCCCAAAAGTAGGCGGAATTCAACTAATGGTCATCCTTCCACAGAACACACAAGCTTTAAAGGGTTTTCAGTGCTATCACATTCATATGAACCACTTTGCACAGCCAAAATGTTTTGGATAGCAACTATAGTGTTGTCTTCTTTTAATCGAATGAAGAGGAATTTTATTGCTGTTGAATTACGTAAAATGATGTAATCAGATGGGTATATAGCAATATTACTTCCATACGAAAGAGTCCCTTTCGAAAAACTAACTGTGTAAACCCAGACCTCTAAAACTTGGAATAAACTGCCAAATGAACTGCAGTAGGACCAGCAGCATTTATCACATAGAGGCAGATATGCAGACTTGACAAATCACAGATGCCACAAAATCAGAAGATAAAATATGATTCGAAGGTTCCTGCAAAACGGAGGCAAACAGATAACCTAGTCCACGATAACTTTATTCTAAAGTAAGTAGTAAGCTGATGACGATGACCACTTCGTAATTCTACGTTGGAATTGTTATGATGACTGGTAAACTAGTAGTAGTAGTAGTACCTCCTGCCCCTTGTATCGTCGAATTTGAAGTCAAAGGAACTACATTATCCCTTGTCACTTTTTCTATACATACACATTCAGGTTTCGGGGTATTTCAGTCACTACAAACTGACGCACGTAAGTGTTTCAGACGTCAGTAATACGTCGAAGAGCTGTATCCAGCGGTCTCATAAAGTTTGCCTAATAAATCTCGTAATAATGACATTTACATGTAAGCGCATCAACTTAGATACCTTTAACCAGACATCTGCCGGAGTTTAACATTAAGAGGGGTGACAGATAAGGAACAGCATACATACAGTGAACCGCTGTGAAACCTCTTTATATTTAACAACTTCATCGGCGAAATTTACACTATTCCTAATCCATTTGTACTTTGGTATTTTTCGACTTACATGTGTAACCTTGTCTTAAGTGAACTGTCTTCGAATTTCGTTACACTTAACTAACGAAACCAAATTTTCATTGCTATTAGAATTCTCACATCCTATTGGTTTTATGATATTTTTCTAGTTTTCATATGTGACATCGTCAAGACTGAAGGATAAGCATTATGTGATCATAGTGATGATAATACGCTTATGACCACTCTTTCCGTCAGTGACTGTAATTCGTCATCCATCCTTGTCCCTTCTGTTCATTAAGCAATTGGTATTAGTCATATTTACTGTGGAAATGATGGTGTGACAATAGTTTTGATATTTGTGTTTATGTTATATGGATACATTGTGATATGAAACTAAAATTAGTCGAAAAACTATTCGGCGAACAGCAAATTAGTGATTATCGGGCAAGGAATTCATTTGGTGTACAAAGAATCAGTATGTTGTCGTAATATATCAACATGTTATTACTATTTATTATAATTCCCTTAAGTTCTGACTGAGCGCTAACAGCATACCTCCATTTCATCCTGTTCTTTGCAGTTATCTCCGCAGGTCTCATCTCCTCCTCATAGGATCTCCTCCATATCACTGTCTGACTGCGACCGACCTTCCGTTTCCCACTTAGGTTTCTCTCAAGGGCTTGTCTCTCACATCGTGTCACTTAACCATCTCCTTACCGTGTGTTCGATCCAACTGCATTTCCTCTGGTATACCCGTTTGGCGAAAAGATGTTGACAGTTATATTCCAAGAGTTCCTTGTTACTAATCCTTTCTGGCTGGCCATCTGATCTTCAATATTGAGCAAGCTCAGCTTTTCATGAAAGTCTGGAGGCTGTTCGAGATGATTTCGGTGACGGGTGCGCTAATTCCCCAAATCACCTAGAAGTATTGACATAACATAAACTCTGGAAATCTGAATCCTTTTTTCTTCATGCTTATTACAGATTAAAAGTGGTGTGTCTTGCCTTACGTTAACATATTACAATGTTACGTTCACCCTGCGTATAACTTTGTGAATTTGTCTATGTGTGTCTGTCCTGTAGCTCAAGTCACCACTTTAGACTACACTGATTAATCCAACATCTTCACTCATGATGAAGTGCCACTTATGAATCATGTTCCACGATAACACAGCAATGTGTCCAGTATCTTGAATATTCCTTACTGAATAAACTATACTTTGAAATAAGGGAGAATATTTGTTTCTTTTAGCTCTGGAGCATATGTTTTGTCACTGCCGTATCCTCTAATCTTTGCTGATGTGACTAGAGAATTACGAACATAGATTTCCACTGCCATCTAGCAAACACCTTATTGTAAGAGTTGATTGCTTTTAAAGGTAGTTAGTTGCTTTACAGAGAGGAATACAACAAAGAACATATGAATTGGGTAATCTTTTCTATTCACATTCTAACTTTTTACCATCAATATGGGTTAAATTTAAATGTAAAAAAGGTACTCAGCATTTAAGAAAAATCTGTATTATATTTTAAACTTCGTAATGCAATGTAATATGAAAGCAATCAGTTTTAAAGAAAATTATGACAGCAGTTGTTTAAGCGGCCAAAGGTAGATAATTTGGATTTCCACAAGTACGTAACGATGTGGGTTTTTGAAGAGCGCGCTTAGCTATAAAGTGAAAAAAACAATCTAGATAATAGTTACTCGATTTTCTGAAAGATACTCAATAACTGCACTCTTGCAATATCTCTTTTCCATCATGGTTCAATGTAAGAAATAAAAATTATTACTCTGTTTTCGATACTGACTCATACAAAATGATGTGAGACTTAAATCAATGTATACAAAATGGTATATCATACAGTGTATTCATATACTTTGACTGTATTTATTAAATCCTTAGAGTTCTGTACACGAACTGTGGAACACATAAATCGATTATTATTGTCTTTTCTAGTTCCTTGAGGAACATAGGGCGTCAGCCGCACGTCTCCATTGCGTTCGGATCTCTGTCAATATTCTCACCTATCCTCACGTCTGTCAACATGTTTTCATCTCCTCTTCACATGACCTCCTCCATGCCAACCTCGTACTGACGACCGAATCCCCACTTTCCATTCGGGTTTCACTTAAATGATGGCCTACTGTTTGATGTCAGTCACTTGATGGTTAGTTTTCTCAGAGTATGGCCAATCCACCTCCGTTTCTTCACGCTTATTTGTTGCATAATCGGTTCCTGGTGGGTTGGTTTGTTCTCAAAGATCCATATTGCTGATCTTTTCTGGCCAGCCATCTGAGCTGGAGTACTGAGCGAAGACGGCTGTTGATGAAGATCTGCAGTTTGTTCGAAGTGCCTCTCATGATGCGGCGCCAAGTCTCTGATCCATATTATAGCACTGACTTCCCATTGGAGTTGAAAATCTGGATCTTGTTTCTTCATTCTGAGTACTGTTGATCTTCTCACCGACTTGAGATAAATGATGAAAGTCTACTTTGCTTTCCCAATTCTCGCTTTCGTATCTTCATCAATTCCGTCCACCGGTAGTTGAAACGATGCTTCCCAGGTAGGTAGGTAGGTGAAGAAGGTTGCTTCTTTCACATTTCTCTCACTTATGCCCTCTGATTGTTGTTTGTTGTTGTTGCTATTGGCCAGGAATCTTTATCACCTCTGTCTTCTCGATGTTCACCTGAAGTCCTGCCTTTGACATTTCTTCTGCCAACTTGTTGCTTTTTACTTGCATGTCTTCCAATTTGTACGAAATCAGGAATATATCATAGGCGAAATCCATATCCTCCAAGTTTTTGTGTGCATGAAACAAAGTTAAATAAGCCCGGCTCGTTTTTTTTAAATTTTTTTTCCTTCACGTTCCCAATGGAATATAGGGCTCCAAGCTGGAGGTTTGAAATTTCTGTAGCAGTGTTTATTTTTACAGGATAGGGTTGCTAGCCTCATGCCCTACCTTTCCACTATACCAGTCTCACTACTGGCTAAGCGACATAAAGGAGTGTGTCGGTCGGGACTCGAACCCGGGAGCATGTGCATGATCATCGAACGTCCTAACCGCTGTGCCACCGAGTCACAAATGGATATCTGGGACAGCGATGTATTATGGGTCAAGGAGATAAATTAACTTAATGCAAAACAATGTCGATGCACGTTAGTTTATTTGCGTTTTGAATACCTTTTTATTGGTGGTAACAGTTTTTCTAAGCAAATCCGTTAAACTATGAGGCTTCCATGACCTTTTTATACAAATGCGCAACGAGAAACCCATGAGAACACCAGCTCGCCTTGTAACCTGAAGGCCGTGGCTTCGATCAATGGTGGGGTAATCGATTTGAACTATTGGAGAGTCACAAACAAGGATTAGACCTGCGTTCGGTGCTAAAAGTTGATTTTCGATGACTCTCTAAGTGAAGTCCATGAGTGATCAATCTTGAAGTC